TTCATATATTAATAGACAAATAAATTATTAATAATAAACAGTTCTACTCTGCCTCCGGGCAGCTGGTAAATCAAACCCCCTATGCTGAACAGGTAAGATTCAGCCAAGATAAAGGACAAAAAGGCAATGGACAGGCTCAGAGAGTGGAAAAAATGCTCTTTTCACCATCAAGAGTCATTTTTTCCAAACTGATACTGCCCAAAGCATAAAAATTAATCATTAAAGTAGTACTTATCGTCCATAACTGAAACATTCTGCTAAAAACAGGCGAAGGCAACACTTTGCCAAGGTCCTACTTCCAAATGAAAGCAAAGCAAACTCAAGGCAGATAAGCTCACAGTCCGGAGCTGTCAGCAGGGTTAGGTTTGCTCCTATCGTCTTCCAGGATATGGAAGGGAAAGCATATCTGCAAGACTCTCCTCCCAGAGACAGGAGTACTTACTGAGTATTGTGGTCCTCCTAAAAAAACAGAGGTGGGCAGAGGACAGGCTGCACACCAGGTGTGATACATACACCTGATTAGAAATTCACCAGAAAAGTGACACCAAGTAAAAATGTAAACCTTCGCCTGCACTGTAACATACAGCAGACACACAGACACGCGGTGTGACTGTATGGGATGTGCCACATGTGGCAAAGACCCAGGTTTGCACAGGCGTCTGCACTTCCCAGCTGGCGCCCGTGATTATACTTTAACCACTATCTCCAAGCCAAAGTTATCATATGTAAAAGTGGGGCTATTAATAGTATGCACCCCTTAGGCCTGTTGTGAAGATTAAGGAGGATAACCCACACAAAGTGCCTGACACACAGTAGACACTCGACACCTTAGTCCTATTGCCATCACCACCACCCACCTCTGCTCCACTGTCACCAGCTAAGGGTGGAAACGGAATTCTAGAAACTGGAAAATCAGAGCAAGTGTTAGAGAAAACACAGTTTACTCTGAATCCATTAAATTTTAAAAATCATATGAATGCAAAACACGAAGAACCAATTTTCAAGATCAAATAAATCTAACCATTGAAATAAACCTCTCAAAATGTAACCTAGCTAATAATTGCAATTAAAACGAGTTAACACTATTTGCCTATTAAATTAGCAAAGCTGTTCTAATTATAATGACCTAACGTTGATCGAAGTACAGTGAAACAGGTACTGCAATATTTTTACAAAGTTATCTGGTATCACAAGTCATTAAATGTTCACTACAATTTACCTAATAATTTCAATTCTAAATAATGATCCTAAAGAACTAAACCAAAATAGGGAAAATTTGACATGCACGATGATGTTCACAACATTCTTTATAAAGTGCAGCAAATTATATACTTTACGAAATATTAAGCAGCAATAAAAAGGATGGTTATGTAAACAAGTATTGTGAAAAAAACATGATAAAACACTATCCAAAAAAAGCTAAGATACTAAACTGAATCTATAACATGAAAAAATTAATTTGTATAGGAAAAATGTTAACAGTTGATACATTAAGAAAAGATATTTTAAGTAATTTTTTTAGCATCTTGAGCTCCCACTTTTGGAAATACGAACAGATTTCTTTGGAAAACAAACATGCACTTGACTAACGTACTCTAAACTGCTGTGATAAAAATAAAATCATCGACCAGTATTCATTCATGGAATCACTTCCATTAACAGTACAGACTGCATCAGCCAAGTCGCTGCTTCTAGGAGTGCTCTGTTTCTACAAAGTGAGTCAGAATTAACATTCAAATGCTTGTCTTTTTTTTTTTTTAAAGCACAATTTTCCACGGACACAATAAACACCTTGTCTTTATTTCTATCCATTTCCACTTTCAGTTTGAAGGGAAAGGAAGATGGCGCAGGAACAAAACCAGAGCCTTTATCCTCAGCGGGCTCATGTTCCTTGGAGGTCCCCACCAGCTAGCTACCTCAGCAAGGTCAGCTCACCTTAGTCCCTCCATCTCCACCAACCCCACTAGCTCACCCATGACAAGGGCAAGTCAACTAGGCATTGACTAATGGCCTCTCCAAGGGGTTTCCCATGAAAGGAGCCTAAAGTGCTTTATAATGATCCACCACATGTCTCCATTTTTATTAGATCAGAGCAGGTGAGAAAGCTTGTCAGCTATGGTGAGTCAACAATGAAGGCAAGAAATCTAAGTTCTTATTCCTCTTATGATAAGCTCTACGATCTGTCTCGCTTGCCTCTTTCGATCTTTCTGTCTCCAGGCAAAAAGTAGGGAAGTCTCAACAACATAACGGGTTAGATCTAACCACTAAATATTTGCAACATACTGAGCCCATTTTTGTAGCACGAGGCAAGGAGGTGGACTCAGGGAACTCACTCAGAGGCCTCTCCTTCTGGTCCAGTAGTCTGTGATGTATTGACCCAATAGCCTGTAGCTTTCTAAACCATTGCTATTAGTGAAGATAACCTTTTAAGCTCATGGGAATGTGTCACTGAAATTGGAGAGTCCTGCTCATCTTTTGGGTCAAAGATAACTTGAACATCGCACACTGCTGAGTTTCAGATCCAACCTTTGGAGTTCAGGCCACGTTGACTATGTCTGAAGCAGGGCTGGTGTGGATGCAACTCTGTTTACCCTGTCAGCCAATGGTTGTGCCGCTGGAGCCATGCTTGCTAGTCATGGCCAAGCTCACAAAGGGGCCTTGTAGTTCTGGGGCCCAGCCTCAATGCCCTGTCTGTTATGTCTCCTGGGACATTTTGATGTGTCACGTCAATCCAGCGGCCAAGCCTGGCAACTGGCTCTGATCCCTCATACATTTCTTCTTCTTTTGACGTCACAAATTTGAGACAAATGATACCTTCCACAAATAACTGGGTAGACCTCCAAGAAGTGCTTCCCTCCTCCCCTTACCATGTCTCCCACCTTATGTCACACCTACAGCCAAGTGACAAAAAGCAAAATGATCCACATTATGCATTGCCGTTTAACGAACAGTAAAGCCAAAAGGAACAAAGGAGACTACATTTGGGGATATTTTCACCTTCTGTCAAGCTCTAGAGGCTGAATTAAACGTTCAGGAAAAAACAGGAACTATGACATACCAAACTCTGATATGATTCTGGGATAAACATCATGGATTACTTTAAACAACTCTCGTAAATCAATGTGGTACAAATACCAGAGATTTGAAGACTCCCCCCCCCCCACTTCAAACCTGATAGTTTTTTAAATTTAAATTTCTCCTTTGGCTTAAGGAACTATAAAAGGATAAGAGCAAGAGCCCCTGGGGCCCCATCTTGGATTCCCCAGTGGGGTCAGACTGTTCCTAGGGAAGAATGAGCTCTGCTGCCTGTCAGAGGTCTAAATGGTGGTATACTGCTTCAGGGCTGGCATTTCCGGTCTCATGGAGGGAAATGTGTCAGCCAGCTCTCTCTCTGCCAAGGCCCAGTCACTCTTTTTCAAAAGATGTCCAGCCAAGGTATGCCCTGCACACATGGGGTCGCCTGGGGAAATCTCAGCTCATTCGATTTAGAAACAGATAAACAAAGCCCTTTGTGCCAATGAAGACATATCCAATAACAGGCAGTGGCCACTTGTCTTCTCTTCTCATGCTCCATGCTCTCCCCAAACAAATTTAGAAACATCTAAATGCTGGCAAATCCCACACTTGTATCTTCAGACCCAATTTCTCTCTTGAGAGCTTGGTTTCCAGGTGCTTTATTTCTAATTGCCCTATTCCTCAACTTCCATATCTAATCAATCTGTAAATCCTGTCAGTCCTATTTCCCTACCTCTCTTAGCATATAATGCTCTCCTACGCCCTGGCCTCAAACCTAGGCTACCCTCACCAGCTCTTATTTGGACTATTGAAACTGCGCCTGTAGGTCCTCATGGCCTCCACTATCCCTTTCCTCCAATTCATTCTTCACTGCCACTGAAGTCAGTCTATTAAACGTCAACACAGTCTCTACTTAAAAACACTGGTTTTCCCAATTGTTTATGGATCAATTCTAAACTCCTTAGTCTGACACTCAAAGACCTTTATGCACTGGTCACAACTCCCCTGTCCAAACACATCTTCTGCCGCTTCTTACCACACACCCTACCCCTCCATTGCTCTGCATTACTGCTCATTCCAGACAAAACCTCCTAAATGTTTTATCTGAATAAATGACGTTCCCCCCTGCGTAGTACATCCTGCTACCTCACCTGTACCCCACAGCTCTTATTTATCCTTGGAGACCCAACTTAAATGTCACCTCCTCTATGAAGTTCTCCCCAGTCCCTCCAGTTGTGAGTCACACTATCCTCAACCTGGTCCCCTAGCACTCTCTGCATCCTTCTGTCCTAAAATAGCACACTGCAATCATATATTCAGATGCTGGTTTCCCTGGAGACAATGCTGTAAGGTTGTCCTTGAGTAAGGACCATGTCTGGTACACGGCTGCACAGGACACTCAGTCTATCAATCAGTCAGAAGAGAAACCAGGGCAATGGAGGGAAAAGATTTTGACGGTCAGGATACTTGAGCCGAGTTCCAGCTGCCTCAGAGTTATGTACTGTGGAAATTTATTAATCTCTCCAGGCTTTAGCTTGTCATCTGTTGAATAAGGGGGTGGGGCTGTATGATTTCTACAGTCCCTTTAACTCCTCTGTCCTAGCATTCAGGCTACATTTTCCTTTAAAATCTACAATGAAGACTCTGTAAAATCCCGTGGTAATAATATGTTCCAGGAGTTTGGATGCTCTCCACAAAGCCAGCCAGGAAAATGACTGTTTTGCCTGGCCATTCGGCAGAGCTCCCAAGGACGGCCAACAACCGAGGCCCCTCCCCTCAACTCCTAAATCCCCAAATGCCCTCTGTTCCGTTTTGCTCTACATAGTTTGGTCAAAAAGTAGCTTATTAAATATTATGCACAAGAAAAAAACCCACAAAAAAACAACTGATGACAACAACCTAACATGCCTTGAAAACAACAAGTGCGAAAAACACGACTGCTGAATTTTGACAAGCCGAGCGAAACCTCTAGGCACGGTAATCACCTCGTTACCCCGTACTCAGGGGGTGGCTGGTACCTCAGGACGGCCACTTCTGTCCTCGCAGGCTGAGGGGCAGGGTAAGGCTTGACCACCTCGTGGTGCATCCCTGGGTGCTGGTCGCTGTAGAAAAGTCCATGCTCCTGGGTCTTGCTGACCGGGGACATCATCTGCTTGGTCTTGAAGGGGTACTCAGGTGGGGGACCCCGGGGGTCCAGCACTTTCCCTGTAGGCTGGGCTGGGGAAGGTCCCCCTGCTGTCTTGAACCCCTTTCCATTCCCCGAGCCAGGGAGGTGTTGCTTAGCACCATTCCTCTCCAGGGACAGCTGCATGATTCTCTCACTGAGAGAGCGGACGTGGCCCTGCTTAAGTTCTTTCAGTGCCTCGTCTTTATGCGCTTGTCCACTGTTGGCACGGTTCACCGTGGGCCTCCCCTCAGTCCGCGACTTCTGACTGGTGCCCCCGGCCATGTAGTAACCATGACCTACAGCGCCTGGCTGCTGCTGTTGCTGCTGCTGCTGCCCCCTAAAGAACTGGGACTGCGCTTTGGCCTCCTCGTAAGTGGGCAGTTCCTCGTTGTTCTGCTGAGGCTGCGTGGACCGGACCTGTTTCTCCATCACCGTATTGTCCACCTGGTGTTCTTGACCCTGCGGTTCCTGGCGTGCCGACTGGTAGACCATTTGTGGGTCTTCTTGAGTGAGGTTTTCCGTGGAAGAAAAGCTGTTTGTAGGGTGGGCTGGACCTGCACTCCCGGTGGCCTGGTGCTGAATGGCCAGCAAGTTCATGTTCTCGGTCGGGGTGCCATACCGCAGTTGTTCCTGGATCAGCCGCTGCAATACTGTTCCAGCTGCCGCATCCTCGGAACCTCTCATTTCCACCTCTGAGATCCTCAGGAAGTTTGGGGAGTGGAAGTTACAAAGAGGATCCTCGACTAAAAAGATAAACATAGGAGAAAAGGTATCAGGCTGTTCCACGAGAATACAGGTCTGTAAGTACGTGATGAATAATTAATACTCTAACTATGGTAGCATTTAAAGACGTGATTTCAAATATACCACCACCACCCCGTCCCCGGCAGTTTCTCATGAAAGCGTTTCTCCAGTTCCAAGTGTCTCTACTGCTCCTCCTGCTTCCTCCTAGGCCTTGCTCCATCCTTTAATCTCCCTTTCCTTTAATTTCCCTGCTAGCTCCTTCTCCTCTTCATATAAACATGCCAAGTCTTTCCCACCTTAAAGAGAAAAAAAGAAAAAAAGACAAGCAAAAACCCCAAACAAAAATAAACCACCTTTTCATGGCCCTTCATATACCTCCAACTGCCACCCTGCCTCTCTCCGTCCCTTCCCAATGTCCTCAGTCAGCAATCTCCACTTGCTGTCTCCACTTTCCAAATGCTCCATCCACTGCCCTCCCTACCGCTCTGATTAGTGACCAAGCCCGGTGAGCACTTCCCAGCTCGCGTATTACTTTCTGAAGCATTTGGCCTGTTGATCACCCACTTCTTGAAATGTCCTAACTTGGCATCCAGGTCACCCCCTCCAGCCTCTCTGTCTTCTCCTCTCTGACTCCCTTTTCTCCACCTGCCCCTTAAATTCTGGCGTTTCCCACAGCTCTGCCCTGAGTGCTCTTCCATCCTCACTCAACAGAATCTCCTGGGTCATCACATCCACTGCCCTTTTTCAACTACTGACCCATGACCCACACATCTACACCCACCAGCTGATGGCCCATGAATTTTTCAAACCCAATGTGTCTTCCTAACCCCCCAACACTTACCCACCCAACCAACCCCCGTATCCCTGCCTTGTCTACTCTTTGCCACGCCAGGAACCTGGAAGTTACCCAACATTCTTTCCTCTCCCTTACCCCCAACACCCAGTCGGTGATCAATTCTACCTCTTCGACATCTCTCCCAACTCTCCTTATTCCCATACCAATCTCCGAGTTGACCATTAATAACCACAGTACAACCACAAGAACCATGTCTGAGGTGCATCTGTGCCAGGCATTGTACTAAATTATCTCCATGTACTATTTCATTTATTCCATACACAATCATATGAGGCAGATATTAATTCCCCCAACCTTACAGATAAAGGAGAGGTCACAGAGGTAGAAGAGGCAGAGCCCGGATCTGACTCATTCCACAAGAGAATCTGTGTTCATTCCATGCTAGTACAAGCCCTCAATGTCTCATACCTAGACCACTCCAGCAGCCTCCTTATCTATCTCTCTGACACTACTCTCACTCCCACTTCCAAACCCACCCCTCAGACTCTCAACCTATCTTCCACACTAACCTGAAAGATTGTTCAAATAGGAAAACCTAATCATATCATTCCTCTGCACAAAATCCCTCAGTAATTAATTATAGGATGAAACTGACATTCTATCATATGGTGTAGCAGTTACTGCCTTACCCATTCAGCAATACTTCATGCCACCACTGCCCTGCCCTCAATGGCAACCCCTTCAAGTTCAAGCTCCGGCAATACCTAAGAACACATAGTAGTTCCCAGACATGCTCCCTCTCTCTGGCCTCTGGGTCTTTGTTTGAATTCATCTCTCTGCCTAGAAAGATGCAGCTCACCATGTCCTCCTGGGAAACGCCCAGATATCTTCATGTGATAGTTCCAAAGCCACCTTCTGAGTAAAGCCTTTTCTGCTGCAGCCCAGCAGGCTTCAGCCTGCCTTCTCATTAGAGTAATTACCACAATAGATGGCAATTCTTTATTTACACAAGACTCTAAGCTCCTTAAAGGCAAGGATCATACCTTCTTATCTGGGTCGCCCTAGTGAACGGCCCAGTGAGGGGGAGCAAATATTTAACCAGTAAAAGAATACCTACATGAGCTCCATGAAATAAAATTTGCCCCATTTCACAATAGTACCAGCAAATAGTGTACTGAGGATACTATACAGCATTATGATAGTAAAAATTCTACCCCTTACTACTAGCATGACCTTGAGCAAATCTCTTACTCTCTTCTAGCTCAGTCTGCTCACCTGTACACAGAGGGAGCTGAACTAGATCATCTCTTAGCAGCCTTAAGTTCTACGATTCCATGCAATGATGGCTCTGAGTTTTTATATATACTATAGATATGGAACATATCAAACTGTCTTTCTTCCCTAGGGTTGCCTCCCCCCACCCCCCCGCATAAATGGCATCCTCATCATATGAGTCATTCAGATAGAAATTTCAAATCCACTTTTGACCTTTTTCTCTCCTTTGCTCCATACATTTAATCAACTGCCAAGCTAGTTTTTCTCAGTCCACAGTGAAATGAGAAAAAAATAAAGGTGACATGATATGCTTCCAAGATATATAAATATACGTATACTCATGCACATTCATGTGTATTTAGACACATGTCATTAGGTTTACTGTCTTTTTTTACACTGCAGCCCTAGCCTCCATGTCCCCACCCGCACCCCACCACCCTCTGGTTCTAGCTCTCCTTACCCAGTTGCTTAGATGTCCTGAAAAGCCACTAATATCTCTTGCCTCTGGCCTCTTCTTCCAATCCACACTGTTTTTATTATCTGTCTTCTCTACTAGAATTCAAGCCCCAGAGGGCAGAGCTTTATCTGTTACATGCACATGCTGTGCCCCCAGTGCCTAGAACACTGGTCCACAGAAGGCCTTTAGGACATACTTGTCGAGTAAATTAGAGAACTTCACGGACCAGATCCTGAAGCTCAACTCTGATCACATCACTCTCCCTGTCGTCCCAAAACCATACCTCTGTGACCTCAGGCAAATAAATTACTTGGCTTCTCTGAACCTCTCTGCTCTGTAAAAGCAGACAAGCTTCATATCTGCCTCACAAGAATGCATGCAGAGAAAATTCAGACTTATTCCTTACCTTTAGAGAATATAAATCCAAAGTTCAACGGTAAAATATTGTAAACAGTAAAAACAGATCACTGCAAGTCCACACGAGATGAACTGCCAAATAATTGTCATAAGCGATGAATAATCCAAAGAAAGAGAGATAAATGTGGGTTGCACTGGGCCATCATGCATTCTATAAATACCGACTGAAAACCTGTTATATGCATGCACTGTGACAGGGGATGGGAGAAGAAACGTAAAGAGGACACGTCCTTACCCTCAGGGTAACTGATCTGAAAGGCTTAATGGCACAAGCAAATTCAAATAAAAACCAACATTTTTGAATAAAAATGCAAATAAAACAAATACACATTTCCAAAGGAAAATGATATTTTTAGATGAAAAATAAAAGGAATGGGGTCTCATTAAACATGAAAACCATTAAATTCACTTTTCATAAGCACATTTGGACCCTGAGATCCTTCCCTAAAGTGGTTTTAAACATTCCCTCATGGTTTTTACCAATCTCAAAAGCCCTCAAAAAGAGGCAGGAAGTCTTTACAACGGAAGTAGTTCCCTCCCTACTATAGTTCTGAATTTCTTCTGAACCTCTGAATTATTTCCAAAAAAGATTAAAATAAAGTAGAGAAGGAAAAAAAGAAATGAAAGGTTCTAGGAAAGAGTACAAAAACATATTTAGGAATTAGAAAAAAGTTAGGGAGTCAGTGGTATATTTCTGAAGTTCCTACATAACTGTTGAGAATCACATATTATAGTAAAACAGTCTATTAACACCAAAGCACAAACATTAAAAATAAGGTACCTCTCAATAAAGAGACAACCAATAATCCCGTGTGCTGATTTTTAAAATGAGGATAGAGGAAAAATGATGCAAAAGAGCTAAAAATTAGACACACAAGATCATTTTGCTTTTCCAACACAAGTGCCAGTAAGAGAACTTACCAACTTTTTCCCTGATGGTACCGTTGGCCTCCACCGTCAAAACAGGCGCTTCATGCCTCCCAGAATAGAGCGGAAAGTCTGGGAAAAAGTAGTTGGGGTCTTCTAGAATCTGGATTGGACTATTGGGACTGTAACAAGCAGGAGGGGGATCTGCGGGGCGGAGAAAAGCAAAGCATGTGTTAGTGCCAATACAGTTTTCCACTCCCTCCCCTCCCGGTTTGATTCACAAGGGCCCATGAGGCATTCTCCCACACTCTACGTAACTTGCAGTGCGAGCGCTGTCCTTTTGATTCATAAAATTCCAACGTTACTATTCAGAATTATCACCATTCTAGCCACCCACCAAAATGACCCACGAGGTCACAATAACAATCTTCAAGTCACGCTGAGCCAAGGCACGAACACTTTGACACAACCCAGTTCCAAGGGCAGTAGCGTCACTAACAAAAATCACATCCTCTGCAGAACTGGACAAGTCACAAAGTTTGGAACGGGCAAGAACGGGGACAGAAAAGAGGGAAGTGAAGAGACCAGAAAAGAAACACCAAGATGGGAAGAGCAGCTGATTCTTGGAGTATATATAAGGTATAGAGAGGGGAGGTCATTTTGCCAGACCATATGTTGTTAGCAGGAGTATGTCCCAGCCCAGGACAGAGAGCTCAGCCTCCCTCTACGGCTTCTGGAGCCCCGTGTGGCAGTGTGCAGCCAGGGTCATGGGTTCTGGCCCTCTGCCAACCACTGGCCTTTTGGCTCCAGTTTATCTGCTTCACACACAAACTGGAGTGTGCTTCCTGCTCCAATTAGACGTGACACTATATTCAATCCCACAGTCACCAAACATGAGATACCACTACCATAACACTGATAGTGCACATACAACATCGTGGGAACACTCTGCAGGACGGGTCCGGCTGTCTCCTTTCTCTGTACTGATTTCTCTGTGTGAGCATCCAGTTTAAGGCTCTTTTTGGCAAAAGTAACTTAGTTTACCTTGGGGAAAGAGTCATGTTGTTGTTGTTTTTAAATAAAAATCCTTGCTCAAAAGAAAATTCCATTAAAAGAAAAATAATGTTTTTCAACAATCACGTCAAATAGGTGATTTGAGATTTCTTGCTAGGTTTGTTATCTACCCATTTCTCACAAGGAATAGGCCAGTAGTAAGTAACTAATTATTCTGAAAGGCCTTAAGATGGGAATTTACTCATCTGCGTTTTTTTTTTTTCTTTAACCTCAACACATGAAATAGTATTTGTATGTGTCATAGGTGTGTTTGGAGTAGAGAAAAAAGATTTTGACAACTGGACTATTTATCTTATAAAGTTAAAATAAATTATGTAGTTGTGACTTTCATCTTAAAGACGAATATAAACCAAGTATGAATGACATATTATATGAAGACCAGTCTAAAATTACAGTTCCGATGTGTGTGGCAAGTATCTGTCAGCATTGTCTTTTTGGCCAACCTGCCAGGACTACCCTGGAAAGAAACCAGTCCCTTTCTGGGCCTCATCCTCTACCTCTATCAACTTGTAAGTCTAAGGCTAAAATTAGTAATCATAATGGCCTAGATCCAAAGGCAAATCCTGACCTGGCTCCTACTTCAGGCAGGTAGAAAATGTTGATGGAAAATTGGAGAGGGGCAAGGTACAACCTTGGCCATGGACACTGGAGTTACCCGGGAACGTTTAAAATCCTGTACCCAGGCCTCACCCAGGCCTGTTCAGTCAGATCTCCGGGGATAGGGTAAAAGCATCTGTATTTTATAAAGTGCCTCAAATGACACCAAGGTGCAGCCGAAGTGAGAAGCCCAAAGCCAGTGCACATAGGAAAAGAAAACACCTTTCTGCACCATGAGCCCCACTCCCCACCAAATCCGTCAGAGAGGTGTTGAGGACCCATACACTTTAAAAAAAGAAAGTGTGGTGCTTTCTTACAGTAGGTCTGGCTCAGGAACGGTACGTGCATACTACATGGGTCCGGAATGTCCAGCATATTACAACTTTGGGTGATACGCTCTAGTCACGTGGCTAAGAATTTTAAGTGATAAAACAGAGAGCAAACTGCTAATAAAACTGAGGCCTAACTAAGAATATATATGCATGTGCACACACATATAAAGGAGTATATGGGTGTGTGTGTGTATGAACAGATAAATATTTACAATATGGAGCCCAGTTAAGGACCCCTGCACTAAGCCATTCCTAGTCACTACAACACTAGTATACATCGCTTTTCCACACTTTATGCAATGGTCGGCCAAGTGAGAGGAAGTTCAAGCGCTCCAGGTCGCAGAACACTTTACAGAGAGCAGTCCTTAAAGGGGGCCAAAGCACAGAGGGCACCAACAATATGCCTCCTTTCAGTAGGTCTCAACATTATGAAAGAACTGATGCACCACACACACACACACACACACACACACACACACGCGCGCGCGCGCGCGTGTGCATTTGCACACCCATGCAGACTGAAGGACAGGATGCCCAACTATATACCAACAATCACTTTAGACCTTTTTTTTTTAAAGATTTTATTGGGGAATTGGGGGAGGGGAACAGCCCTGGGAAGGGGAAGAGACAAGTTGCTGTCCTTTTGTTCTTCAGTATAGTTGTGGAGGACGCTGCTTCACTGGACCATGTTGGTATTATCATTGCGCTCTTCCCGGGTGAGGCAGTTGCTCGCTGGCCATTGGACGGCCACTCACGTCAGCCCAGCTCCAGGTCGAGCTGTTGTTCACCATCTTAGCTGTAGAGGGCGCAGTGTCACTGGCTCTCATGTGGGATCTGAACCGGGGCCCTGCGGCTCAAAGCTGGCGTCCCAATCCAGCTCTTAACCAACGTGCCACTCTGGCTGGCCCAAGATTTCTTTTTTTGCACACACTCAGTGGCCCACACATTCCCCAAGAGTTACATTACACTGCTGCTCCCACTTTCCTTAGAGCTGAAGAAAGAACTGAGAAGATGATCAGAAGGGACCTTGCAGACAGACAGACAGGCCTGGGGACCATCCACTCCACTAAGCCAAGAGACAACAAACTGAGCTATCGCAGCACTGACACACCCTCAGGGAATCCTTTTTACTTCCTCACTTGTAAGTCTAGATAACATGACAGTAATGTGCATCCCAGGGTCCGCATCAGATTCCTGGGCAAAAACGTGAGAGAGGCCTTGTCCCTTACCCCACACATCCATAACGCTTCTCTTGCAATTCTAGTTCGAAATCTTCACTAGGAACTTCTTCTAGAGCACACATTGCGTGTATTTTCTTATGAAAAATGCAGGGTAGTATCTCATCTAACAAACAGGGCCAAGGGTATCTGAAATAAGAAACTGGAAAGAAACACATGACGTGAGGGGGGATGCTGTTTTCTTTGTTAGCCGTTCTCCATACCCGGGAGCAAGAATGGGAAGAAACCACTGGAGTCTCAGAACACTACTCCCACCCCGCGGCCCCTGCAGGCCTGGCTCCAGCCCAGGGGTTGAGGAACGGGCAAGGTTTTAGGGGAGTCCCCCGCCACTCAAGGATTCTGCTGGCTCATCAGCATGTAATGCATCATGTAGTTGCTTCTGGGGCTTCCCAAAGACTACTTCCATAAAAGGTCCTCTGGACTTAGAAACTTGCGATCACCTGCTTCATTCAAACCAGTGCCTTGACTGAGAAAGATCCCCCTCACACAGCTTCAGTCTGCATGGGAAGAGTGGCAAAAGCAACAGAAAACAAGCCACGGTCAGCGTAAGGGGGTCAGTTCTCTGCAGGGTCTCCCTCTGGGGAGCTGCTCCTCAGGCTCCAGCCCTGAAGCAAAGCTGCAGATCTGTTTGTGCCACACTCGACAAAGGGTGAAATTCTACTTGGAGGGTTCAACATTCCTGCCTTACGTCGACTATGACCCATTTCACCAAGAATAGCTCCTTTTTCTTTATGAAATCTGCGTGTCATTTGTCAACAAGAAGAATCCTTTGCTTCTCTATGAGCGTGACTGCTTTTGGCTAACTTCTAAAGCACTGAAAACTTCCTTCCCATTATGGTTTTATGCTGTTACTTTCTTTGTAACTGTCCAGAGGCCTTTAGGTAATGTGACCCTGAACGAGACTTTTTTATCCCCTTCTTCCATAGTAGCGATAACAAAGGGCCTCATTGTTGAAGGAATAATGCATTAAGGAAAAATGAAGTGAGTTTTCTGGGGGAGGCAAGAGGCACAAGAAGCCAGGTGACCGGCTCATCTGCTTCACTTCCACCATAACTAGTTATGAGGTGTGATCAATAGATACAGTGAATGTTTAAATTTAAAAAATTATTGCAGTGAAAGGCACATTGCCATTAACCCCCCTCAGAATACTCCTCGCTTTAAACACACTTATCCCATCGTTCCTGCCACTTTCTGAAGCAGTCCTGGAAGTCCTCTTTCATGAGTGTCTTTAGCTGAGCTGTCGTGTCTGCCTTGATGTCCTGAATCGATTCAAAACGTTTACCTTTCATGGTCATTTTGACTTTGAGGAAGAGCCAGAAGTCACATGGTACCAGATCTGGTGAATAAGATGGATGAGGACACACCGTAATGTTTTTATTTAACAGAAATTGCCGTACCAGAAGCGATGTGTGACACAGCCTTTCCGTTGTGATCACAAAATATGGTGAATGCTGCAGCCAAGTGCCATCCAATGGAAAGGCAGGGATCTTCAATATGGGAAGTGGCACATTGAACTTAGTAACAGTGTGTGACAAGTTTCAACTTGTTCAGTGTAGTCAGTCGAATGTGAGCTACGGTTGAGAGGTGTGTTTTAAAGTGTGATGTAAATCATTCTCCATCATGACAACGTTCCATTGTCATGGACAGCACAACTAAAGATTCTCATGAAAGAGGACTTCCAGAACTGCTTCAGAAAGTGGCAAGAACAATGGGATAAGTGTGTTCAAAGTGAGGGGGAGTATTTTGAGAGGGATTAATGGTAATGTGTCTTTTACTATAACAATTTTTTTTTAAATTTAAACATTCACTGTATTGTTTGATCACACCTCATACTTCCCTGAGATCAGATCCTGAATCCGTAAACAGGCCCGTGTAACAGGCTCGGAAGTCTCCTTCAGGTGTAAACACTAGAGGACATTCAAACTGTCACCCCACTACCATCCAACATGCACAGAGCTGGGAAATCACCTGATCTTAAATTTCATTTCTAGCATGCCACTTGCTTGCATACAGCCGTCTTGGCTATAGTTTCAAGTTCCAATCTTGTTTGGTTTTCAAGGTTGTCGATAATCAGGTCCCTCCTTTAGCTGTCATCAGTCTCACTGGTCCATTCAGCATCCGAGAACATATCCTCATTCTCCAAATCCCAGACAGGAAGGCCATCCTCTAGCTGCACAGTCACCTCCACAACTACTGTAAAGTTCACTCCAGTAACTTTACCTCTTCAGTGCCTCCTCTAGAACACTAACCCCCTATACTGGCCTTCCTGCCCTCAACTGCTACAACCATTATGATCTGAAGCATACAACTTAGCACTCAAACATCAACTGCCTAGTATCTTGCAGGAGTCATTTCCTATTGGCTAGTGCGACTGCCTAGGGAAAGCCTGAAAACAGGCACCATGCGTGTACTTGGCTTCCTTCTGAAAGCAATACATATGGTATATGCTCTCTTACTACTCGCTGGCTGATGGGGTACATGGCCTTGTCCTCTGGGATGGTCTCACTACCGAGTAAGTTGAAAGGAAAGACCCCTACAAAGCCAGTCCCTGATTCCTTGCAGCTCTTAGCTCCCAAAGATGAGGGAGCACATATGCTCCCCTTTGCAGCTGACAGTGGTGCTCTGAGGTCTACAGGCCAGTGGCCCATTCCTCAAAGCCTCCACTAACTGCAAAGCTACTCTCAGGTGTTCGCCAAAGCGTACAACCTTCTGCCAGTTCCATGTAATCCAAAACCTCCTAATGCATTTAAAAACAATTTCACTGTCTAGATTAGAATAACCTTCTATTATTTCATAACAGAGGTTTCAGCCACAGCAACAAACAATTTTGTGGCTTCTACCTTCCCTTGGAACGAGCTAAGGAATTTGCTGAGTGTGCCAGCGACCTCAAAGTTAAATGTAAGCTTGGTTCTTCTGATTCTGGCAGGTTTTGCCCAAGAGTGGAATACTCTGCTCAGGGAGACCGATGCCCTGGAAGCAAGGTTTAAAGGTGCCTGGAGAATCCATGACTAGTATCTGAAAAACAAGGCCTCGTCTGTTCCCAAGTCCCCACATGAAACCAAGCTAGCTCATACATGTTAGACAGTTCACGCTCTGGGAAGCTGAGTCCTGCGTGAAGCACAGAGAGGCCTTGGCACCCTCCTCTATGAAGACCTGCATGCAACACACACGCTTTAAAAAAAGAAACAGGGAGCTCCACCACGAAACTGAGAGCACACACTGCAATGTGCCTTCTCACTCTCTTTCCCCAAAGAACCAATATATGAAACCCAAAATGGAGACGGGGAGGAGTGGGAGGGGGGAGGTTTCAAGGATTCCCAACCCTACATGGTATGGTCTTCCTGGACCCCAACTTTGAATTGTAATCCCAGGGCTAATCCATATAGTACAGAAAACAAGGCAAATAAATAACACACATACGTACCCATTTAATTCAGACTCTCTCAAAGTGGAATGCTGGCTCTCTGAACGTCTTGTGGTGAATAACTTTATCTAAAGTTGTGTGAAGTTCCACTTTGTAATGTTTATTTTTAGAAATATCTCTGAGATATTATCAGTGTGAACCAAAATGCAGAAAGCATGCTTAACCTTTAAAGTAACAATTGAGTTCAACAGGGCACTGTGCTAACAGCTATAAACACAAAGAAAGGAGTACGACTGTCCTTAGCTTTCGGATATTAAGGTTCAGTTCTGAGAACCAATGTGCACCCAAATTTCAACGCAGAGTGAGTGCTCTATTAAAGAGACCCAATGCTTTGGAGGGAGTTAATTCATCACTACCTGTCGCTTGAGGGAGGTGACAGAGCTGAAATGAGGAGGAAAGAAGAGACATGTGAGGAGGATATATGTTAACCTGCTGGGGGGTGAGGGGAGGGTGCTGGTGAGGAAAGATGAGTCCAACACGGAAATAGAGGAGCAAAGTGTTTCCTCCCTTGAAGGAATGAAGAACTCCGTGTAGCCTGGACACAGTGAGGAGAAGGATGAAGCTCTATCTACAGACCCAGAACCCAGTATTCAAGAGAGCTTTTTAAAAGTATTAGTACACTATTTTTATAACACTACAGAACCGGAAACTAATTTAGAAATTAGGTGGTTCGGCTTCTAAAGACTACCTGCCGTATTCCTGGATAATCATTCTCCTCAAATCAAGTATTTTCAGTGTTAGGGAACTGTGTACTCATTATGTAAGCCTTGGGGGTAGGTTCTACCTCCCATTACAGAAGCCAAAATGTGCTCTCCCTGTTCTGGAAATTAAGGCGACCTAATTAAGCTCAAACGAATGTTCCAAACAAAGGCTCTGAATCTCGAGGAAATGACACAAAAACAAAGGGTATTGATAAGTGATCTGCAGAAACACTATCACCAGGAGTCCAGGAACAGCAGTGGGATCCTGGTGGCCCCATCCTCAAGACACAGGTAGCGTAACCCCTGAATGGGTTCCTGGTAGATCTTGCTTCTTCACCTAAGTTCCTGCCCATTGTTTGAGTCTTCCCATTAATTTGTGAGCTGCCCAATACACTTCCGACAAATTCCTTTTTTGCTTAAGTTAACCAAAATCACTTCGTGCTGCTTACAGTCAAGAACTTCTGACAGTTCTCACAGAGACTTACACTAAAAATAATTAATTGTTTGAGCCTGTTTTAAGAACACAGCATTGTTTGTATCAAGGACCACATGACTTAGCACAATCTGCTCTGAATTATAGTAACCCATATCTACTGCCTTTGCACAAACCCTAGAGAAAATACTTGCAGTTCCCCCAAAGATTCTCCCTCTGGAGGGCCTTTCTCCCCTTAGGAGTTGAGGAAACTTACTTTGACACACACTAAATGTTAAAATACATATGCTGACTCTCTGAACATCTTTTCTTCAAGCTCTACAATAGTGCCACTTCCTCCATTGTTATCTTCCCCTCCTCCCCCTACAGATGCCACTCTCCTTTTTATATGCCACCCATCTATGCTCCCTTCTCATTCCACGCATAGTCATGCTACAATATATTAAATTGCCTATGTATTTAGGCTTTTTTCCTTCTCCCCATTAACCCATAAGTGGATTAACAGCAAGGACCATGTCGTATTCACCTTTGTATCGCCTGTTTCTAGCAGAAATAAGATCATAATCAGTGCTCGATACACACTG